CCGCCTGTTCACCGGCCGCACCGCGCGCGCGCGCGGTCGCGGCTCGGTGAAGCGCGCGGCCTGCGTGTGCGTGAACGTGGTGTTGACCGCCACGCTCGCGCCCTGCACCTGGGTGGCCGTGGCGCTGCTCGGGGGCTCCTTTTACCAGTGTGCGGCCAGCGGGACCCACTTCATGGCACGCTTACTGTGCCCTGGTCGCGACCCCAACTGCTCCGCCGAGCTGCCGCTGGTGCCCTGCAACCAGGCGCGTGCGGCCGACGTGCAGGCCCTCCTGGGAGAGCTCCGGGCGCAGTCGCAGGTCAGCGGGACAGGGGAGGCTGGGAGGGGAGTTGGGAGGTGGACATCGGCGGCTTTCCCCGACACACGGGGCCTGGGGACAGCTAGAAAACTACCTTGCTTCCTCTTTCTTTCTTTCTTTCTTTTTTTTTTTTTTTGAGCAGGAGTCTCACTCTGTCGCCCAGGCTGGAGTGCAGTGGCACCCTCACGGCCACTGCAGCCTTGACCTGCTGGGTCAGGCGATCCTTCCGCCTCAACCTTCCAAGTAGCTGGAACCACAGGCGCGCGCCACCACGCCCGGGTAACTTTTTGATTGATTGTGGAGATGAGGTCTTGCCATGTTGCCCAGGATGGTCTCAAACCCGTGGGTTCAGGCAACCCTCTCGCCTTGGTCTCCCAAAGTGCTGGGATTACAGGCGTGAGCCACCGCACCCTGTTAAAGCTTCCTTGCTTCTAATGGACTGGGACACTTAATAAAACGAATAAAGGAGGGCAGGCACTCCTGCAGCACCCAATTCTGTAAGCCAATCGTGGAGAGAGGGTACAGCCAACTGGGTGCCAGCTGCCTTCCGCCTCCTTCCCATGTCTCACAGCAGCCCGTCAGGGTGTCAGTATTGTGTCTCCACAACTCAGTCAGCAAACAGAGTCTAAGTCCAGCCGGGAGAAGGCTGAATTGTTACAATTAAATGGGTCAACCAGGCTCTCAAGTCACTACTCTATGTTGCTCCTGAGCTTACAAAGCTCAGAGTTTCCTTAAAATAAATGCACCTTTCACGGATTTGCGGAAAATCCATGTTTTCTGCTATCTAAGGCAATGACATGGGCTCCTCCCTGACCCCTTGGCAGTCTTGGAAGTACAGTTGACTTTCCCAACAAGCAGTTGTACTGGGGGTTGGGCAGGTCACTGCCAAATCCTTTTTTTTTTTTTTTTTTTTTTTAACTTTCTGTTTGTTGTTGTTGTTGTTGTTTGAGTCAGAGTCTCACTCTGTCACCCAGGCTGGAGTGCAGTGGCACACTGCTCACAGTCACCACAGCTACTACCTGCTGGGCTCAGGTGATCCTTCCACCTCAGCCTTCCAAGTATACTCCTTAACTCTTAAGGAATTATGACCTACATCTGTTGCTTATCCATCATCTGGTGAGAAGGTCAAACTTCATCTGAGAATTTTTAAGTTTCTTTTTTTAAAAAGTGGCTAAATGACCATTTTGTTGTGCTTTCTTAAGGTGTTTGGCATAGGCCTGATAACAATTGCTGTCATCGCCCATCTGTTGTATACATCTATCACCCAGTGCCGATCTCCAGTTAGTTTTATGCAGCTAAAATTCTGGAAAATCTACTTGAAACAGGAGCAGCAGCTCTTTAAAAGTAAAGCCACAGAGCATGCGATGGAACTGGCAAAAGAGAATATTAAATGCTTCTTTGAGGGCTCACGTCCAAAACACTGCCATACCCCAAGCCCTAAAGACTGGCAGCAAATTTCATCACTATATACTTTCAGTCCAAATTTCTACAGCATGTTACACAAATATGTTAACACAGATGAAGAGAATGACAGTATCAAATCTTCTGAAGGAGTTGTAGCCACTGCTGGTCTTGACTTTGTAGATTCGCCTGATATGAACAGCAATCTTGAGTTAGAGACTTGTGAATAAGTAGAAAAAAAGTTATTTTGAATTATTGCTTTAAAAAAAACATTGTTATTGTTTATCACTGCTTTTTTTCCTTCTAAATTGTGGCATTTTCTATATGAAATTAAAATATAGAGCTTAACCTCTTTATAATGTTAATTATTTCACACAAACACACAAAAAACTGAGGGGAAATGATTCACCCAAAGAAGAAACTGGAAACTAGATTAGAAGTCTTGTATCTATTCTGGGATCCTTTTCAAATAGAAGACTTTGGTAGCAACAACAGTGACAGAACATTGAACTTCTGACCTTTTTGTTTGGTTATCTGATGTTAATTTCAAGTTCACTTTCTTGCCGGCAACACCTTGTCAGGAACTGAACAATTTTGGCATGCTAGCTAGCTCTGTGGTGTACTAGATAGCATGTTGGGCTTCTGGCTGAGCCTGTGGTAGTCATTCAAAAGTCAAAGCATTTTATGGCTCTAATATGGTTACAATGAAAATTTAGTCATGAAAGTAAATTTTTTAAATATGAAATTTGAAAAAGTAGTAATTTTAGTTTATAGGATCAGAGGAAAAATATGAATGGTATTTGTATGATAAATTTGAAATATATACAAAAGTAGAGAGGATGGTATTATGAGTCCCCCAAGTAGTCATTTGGCAGTTTCCACAGAGTTGGGAAGTCAGATAAAGCCCATGGCATGCAAATACATATAAAAATACAAATTGTGACCTGTTTAGATTAGCAGAGGAGGGCTTGGGGAAGCCCATGAGAGACCAAAATCCCTGGAGTAGGGAGAAGAGCATCTCAGTTATACTGAAGGAACTATTATAACCAGACCAGGTTCTTATGCCTGCTACCCAAGAAAACCAAAACCTACATAGCCATTGCAGCTGAGGGTTTAATATCACAAAGCACCTGAGCAAGCAGGATGGGCGAAATCACTCAAATCCTCCTGCCCAGAAATTCAGAGAACAGGGATTTTTAAAGAGAATTTGGTGGGTAAGGGATAGGGGCTGCTGATGTTGGTTGGTTGATGAAGTTGTGGAGGCATCCAGACTGTCTTACTGTCACAGAGTCAATTTCTAGGAGACAGCTTCATGGTATGTGTTCTCGGCCCAGGATAGGGGAAGGAGTGCTTGGTCCCTCCGAGTACAAAGTCTGAAAAACATCTCAAGTGCCATCTTAGGTTTTACAGTAGATGCCATCTGTAGGGCAGGTCCTGGTGACCATCAGCTACTACTCCCTGGATGGAGAGCCAACATAGAGGTCTTAGGTTCATGGTCTAAAGGAGGGTATGGGGATCAACCTTGTGGGGCACCTTCCCCTCCCCAGGGGTCAGGACATGAAGATCATCAGTCACCCTCTATTGGAGTGAGCAAACATAGAAACAACAGCTTTGCTTATCTCTAACCCTGGCTCTTCAGGGCTCTGGTCCCTTCCCCAGCCTTTACCCCATGGCCTGACATTGATTTCACCCAGGTGGTATCAGGACAGTATGTGCAAAGACTGGGATGAGAACAATCTTAGCACAGTTAGAAGCTGTAAGAGGGGCTGGAAGATGAGCAAGGGGCACAGTGCAGCACCTTGAAACCATGTGAAGGATTTTGATTTTCATCCTGTGAACATTTCAGGAAGATTGATCTGCTTTGCTCGAGAAAAAAAGAAATGGCATGGGAAGAGGAAAAGTCAAGGTGAAAATGGAGAGACCAGCCAGGGGGTCACTGTAGTGGAAATCGGTGGGTGTGAACTTGTGGTACATTGATAGTGACCAAAATGGAGAAAGGGGGTAGATTCTAGGTGCATTCTGCATGTAGACATGGCAGAATGTTTTGATGAAAGGAATGAAGAATTTAGTGAGCACAATTATATCTCCAGATCAAATTCTGCTACATGGCAGTGCTGGAACTTTCCAGGAACCCTTGTCTTGCATAAATCTATCATTCCTGCCCACCCCCCCCCAACATATGACTGCTTTCTGCATTTTAAAAATGAGATATGCAAACCTTGAACTGCAAGATGGTTGAGCACTGCCACATTTTGCCCTCCTTCCTTTCTTAGCGGACAATTGTGCCAGCCTCTGGTCACCTTGAATTGCCCAGGGCCGCTAGAAAGAACAGTCAGCAGGCTGAACATCCTGTTGTCAAGAGTCATTTATAACAAGAAAATTGGTGACAGAAATGGTGTGGGTCCTTTTTTTTTTTTTTACTGTTCCCTAAAATAATACTTTTGAAAGTCATATCATGACTACTTTCATTTTTGCTTCCTTTATTTTCCAGTTTATTTTTGTATATTCTTCCCTTTCGAAACTTTTTTTGGGGTTGACCATCTATGCTTGTATCCTCTTTAGTATCATCTTGTCTCCACCTTGTTGGTGTATGTCTCACTTTCTCTTGCATAGTCTTTAATAATTATTGTGAATACCATATAAGCTTAAGATAAAAATTACAGTGGTAGAGAATGGTGTTGTACTGGACCCCCAGAGACCCCAAAAGGGAAGGCACTGTGTTTGAGAGGCTGAACAAACGGACCCGGAGACAATGGATGAGACAGGCTTTATTCAGGAACTTACTCTAGGAGAAGGTGGTCCTGGAGTGGCCGACTGGACAGGAAACCCGCTCTGATTGTAAAGGGCACCTGGGCTATTTGGCATCTTACATGGAGTATGCAGGGTTAAGCAAGAGAGGGCAGACTCCAGTGCATGGGCGCAGGGTGAGAACGCCTTGTCCACAGGTGCATGGACACAGCATGGCTGCAAATTATCTCTAGGGTGGGACTTTGGGTATTATAATGAGCTAAAGGTAACCAAAAGTTGCAGGCAGTGATCCAGGTGTGGCGATCTGGTATGAGCCACCTCAGGGGGCTGACTGCCTCCAGGAAGGGTGCAGAGAACACTCACTAAGCAAGGCTGCAAGGTCTGGTCAGCCAGCGGGGACACCTCGCCCCATACCTCAGAGTGACCTGCACACCCAGGCCAGAGCCTGCGAGGAAGGGGACACTCTGGTCTGGTCACCTCCAGAACTCCTCCCCAGTTTCCAGCATTCTGCTTGGGGATGTGTCCAGGGTGTACTCATGTTGGCCTTGAGTTCTACAAATGGTAGAAAACAGTCAAATGACTGCATTCCTTTGCTATATAGTCTTCCCAGAGGTAGTGGGTATATACTCTGTGCACAAATATTGTCATAATATAACTGTTGTTCTGTAACTTTTTCACGTAAAATTTTATTATTCCACATTAGTATATAACAACTTACCTCATTTAAAAAATTACTGACCTTGTCTCTATGATGAATCAAAAAAATTGACCAGGCATGATGACCCACACCTGTAGTTTCAGATACTTAGAAGGCTGAGGTGGAAGGATTGCCTAAGTCCAGCAGATTGAGGCTGCAGTGGCTGTGATTGTGCCACTACACACCAGCCTGGGTGACAGAGTGAGACACTGAGTCAAAATTAAATACAAATTTTAAAGAATAATAAAATTTTGCATTGTATTCTACTAGTTAGTAGAATATGATCCTTTTTTTTGTTAAAACTTACACACCCATGCACATACATTCATAAAGTATAGAAAGGTAAGCACCAACTTTCTCAACAATTTGCCTCTTCCTAGAGTCTTCAGAGATGTTGATGCTATAGCTGAATGCATTGAGTCACTTGGTGTAAGGAGTCAGGGATAAAGTGCTGAGATGAACTTCAGGTTTTACCAACTCCATCTCCTCTGAGCCTGGGTCATTGCTGTAGTCTCTTACCTGGCTTACCTGTCTGCAGCCTTTGCCTCTTCTGATTCCTCCTTGCTGCAATTGCAGGATCAATTATCCTAAAACATGGATTTCATCATCCTGACTGAGAGATCCTCACTGTTTGTTTCATCAAATCTAAACTCTAATCTCCATGTGTCAAAGAGGTTACTACTCAATTTCTGAAACAAGAAACTGAATTTATTGCCTGTTAGGCCACTGAGAGTCATACTTGCAGGACACAGTCTCTTGAGATCAAATTTTGGGGAGTGGTGGGTTTCAGGACTACATGAACTTTCAGAAGTGGGACTTGTTTGTGAATTGGTGGAATCCTAAGTATGGAAGCACAGTTATTAGAGTGAAGCAGTTGCTAAGTGTCTGATTTTCAGAAGGATGAGAATATCATTGATTGACTTTCAGAATCATGGTCGCTGAGGCAAAGATGTCCTTGGTCAACTGAGACAGTTTTCAGTTTGGTTCTAGTGATTTCTTATGTAAAACTAGGGTGTGTGGCCCAAATTCCCTTCTTGAATTTGAGGGACAGGAAATTTCTATCTTCACCTGCATAGAGAAACTGCATCTGATGTTGCTGGCATGTCTGTCCGGTACTTGACACGGTGGTTGGCTTAGTAAACAGATCTAAGTCCCCATGCCTGTCATCGAAGCCCTAAAAATCTACCTGCTCCCTTCCCCCATCCTATCTACTTATGCTTATTTTAAAAATATTCTTCCATATTCAATCTCTAACTGAATCAGGATTTCTAACCATTCCACCATATTCATGACCACCATCTGAAACAGACCCAGCTCAGCTGCACTTCTCCACCCAACTAATTTCTCTTTTCTCCCACATTCCTGATGCCATGTCTGGGGTTTTGTTGTACCCCACTTATAAGCTAAGAGCCTGTTATGGTATGGAAACTGGCAGAAGAGATTAAACCTCAGGGCCAGTGACAAAAACTGTATGAATCACAGGTGAACACAGAGTTTGAGATGGTTCCCTTGTCCCTAAGTCCTAGGGGGCAACACAGAAGGCTAAGGTGAATACTTGCACACACCATTAGTAGAGAGATGACGAGCTTGGGGAGCCACCAGTATAGAACAAGTAATCATCAAGCCTATTCTTTATCCACAAAGGAGACCTTACTCTATCTCTCAAGGTTGCTTGCCGCAAGCACACCCCTAAGAAATGGCCTGGGTAAAAGGCAGCCAGAGCTCTACCGTCTCTGTACAAGCAGACATATGAGGGCATGGGGGACCAGGCAGGACCCCTTCCAGCTCCCAGTGTCTCCCTCCCAAGCACTACTTCTAATC